GGGACGTGTTACGTTCCACCGTTCTCCTGCAGTTTACACTGCCTCCCACCATAATCTTCATTCCTTATCGCCATAGAGAAGTTCTTTTCCTCATGGAGGCGGAAGGTTTATATCCGGACATATCTGGGGACGGATCAGGCATGAAACAAGATTATTCCCAGGTGTACTGCAAGAGAGAACATAAGGTGTGATGCGGATGAGAACTTGTGGCCAAATGCACACAGGGTCTGACTACTACTGCTGTATTACTAAATCTCTAGTCATACTTGCCAACCCTCCAGACTTTAGCAGCCAGGAGACTCCCGTTGTTTTGTTTCCTCTCTGGATCACAATTCTCTGTCGCATTTCTCTTAGTTTATGACAAACTCCGTGTGTCCATCGTGTGTCAGAAGAGCTGTAACAAGAAACTTTAAGCCACTAGATTCAATCTCCATCCATCCATCGTCAACCGCTTATCCTGCGTACAGGGTCACGGGGGGCTGGAGCCAATCCCAGCTGACATTGGGCGAAAGGCGGGGTACACCCTGGACAGGTCGCCAGTCCATCGCAGGGCCACACATAGACAGACAACCACTCACATTCACATCCACACCTAAGGACAATGTCGGATACACCAATTAATCTAGCCTGCATGTCTCTGGATGGCGGGAGGAAGCCGGAGCACCCGGAGAGAAATCACGCGGACACGGGGAGAACATATAAACTTGACCTTCTTGCTGTGAAGCGACAGTGCTAATCACTGCACCACCGCGCCGCCCAGACTCAATCTCATGATCACAAATTTTCACTAGTTTCACTCACTATTCACAGTTTTTCTGATCCGAACGAACAAATTGAAAATAAAATCCATGAAATACTGGGCAAAAAGGGGTTAATTATTTTTGACAATACACAACATACTGACTTGCAAAGCAAAGTGAAAGCATGAAAAATCACATTCATTAGTAACAAGTACACACACACACACACACACACACACACACACACACTCACATTGACCTGAACCATATTGTTGCCTGGACAAACTACATAAATGTATTATTGCATGATATAGCCTGCAGCAATCGCCATTACCATAATAATTCATGGTGGTAATTTTCTGTGTTTTTCCATATTTTCACTGTCAGTGTTATTCTTCTGCAAGAGAGACTGCAGATATTCCTAGTAGTCATGCAATGCATTTATCCTATTGTCTTTCCTGTCCTGCTCTATGATCATTCTTTGTGTCAGGCACTGTGACCTTTTGACCTTTAACATCCATATAAAGCTGAAAGGTTATTTACTAAGCGATTTAATTACTACACTCGCTGCCCTAAATCCTGGTTTTATTTCCTGAAACGATTATTATTATTAATGATAATTACCCCGTTTATTTTTACAATTGGTGACTCTTTTTTAGAAAAACTCTTTCTCACAGTTATTCTCATATCCAAAATGCTTGCATAAACCAAGATTCCATTACAGCAAAAAGAGTGACACCTCTTCTCAGTATTAGTATAATATGTGTACATGTTAACATGCTAAACATGAAAGGAAAGCTACAGATATAGATATACAGCGGTACTAGTCAGCCTTTCCTTATCATCCACATCACACCTTATGTCCTCCCTTTTCCTCACCTGGCACAAGTCTTTCATCGAGGTCATCAGGATGAAAATGAGGTGCTCAGTGCTGTCTGGCCCAGTTAGCAGTTTATGTACTTTAGGTATACATTTGGCAGAATCTAGTATTTACAGTTCTGCCGTTGTGCTGAGTTTTTAAAAAGCAATCTAAGTACTGAAAAATGCATGTCACCGATTGTCTGTTGTAATGTTTGGGGTCTAACCTGCACAGCTGATTAAAGTATCCTTCTGTAGCTACTGACATTGTGAATGTCACTACAGTGTTTGACAAACGTGCAGTGCTTTACCTCCCACTGCAAGGAAAAATTTATTATAATAATAAACAAGGAAAAGTCAAGTAAGACAAAAAAATCCAGTTCTCCTTTATTCAGGAGGGGGGGGCAAAATCCATTAAATGTATAAGCTGTCACACTATGTACAGAAATAGTATTCATTGTGGTACATTCCTGCTGATTTTGGAACTCTTTACTGGAAGCTGTAGCATTCTAACAACATACTATACACACTAATAGAGATCTGTGTGAAGACGGCGCATTTACTGTAAATCTTATGGCGATAAAAAAATTTCACTGTTTGGTCCAAAAGGTTAAGCAAGTTTCTAGAAATATTTAGAAACAATATCAAGGTTTACATCACAGGCAACCACATTGTGCATTATTTGTATTTAATGTAATACAAATGGCTTGCTGCCATTTACTAACCCTTTATTTAAAATCATAATGTCAAAAAAAGACAAAACAAACAAAGAAATGACCCAAACACATCCCCACATGATGTAAGTGCATGTTTAATGCATTTAATTCCTACAAACAACTAACAGTAATGTATTTAAATAGACATTTTATGTGGTTACTTTTACATCAAACACAGATAGATCAGTGTCTACCTTTTAGACAAAAAACATTTTATTGTATTAAATTATATTATATTATCCACATCCAACATTGAGCCATGGCTCGTCAATTACTATGCAAATGACATCAAGTGAGTGTGTGTGTGTGTGTGTGTGTGTGTGTGTGTGCGTGCGTGAGTGTGTTTGTGTGTGTGTGTGTGTGTGTGGTCTGTGTCAGATAGTATGTAATGAATTCATTAGCCAGCTTTTATTAACTGGTCATTTGCATAAGGCTACAAAGCTACAAAGCTGAGCCAATAGAGATTTGATTTACATAAAAGAGCGGACCTCCAGTGTGTGTGTGTTTGCACATTTTTTTATGCATGCATGCTGGCACTTGCATGAGAAACAGAGAGAAGTGAAATCAGGAAAAGGGTCCAAGGGAGAGAGGGAGATCTCAATCTGCTGCACCTCTTTAAGATGTATTATGTCTTGTGTGGTTCTAGTGTGTGTGTGTGTGTGTGTGTGTGTGTGTGTGTGTGTGTGTGTGTGCGAGTGCATGCTTGTCCAGAAAAAATGTGCTGTTTGTCCTTGTATGTAGATGAGCCTGTCCAGAACATGTGTATGTGTGTGTGCTTGGAGAGGTAGGTGAACACTTAAATAAAGCAGAAAGTGTGGCCACTACCCCATAAACCGTTTTTGAAAACAACATTTTAATTTCAACACTTTGTTAATGTAGCCATGCTACTGTTTATGACTATATATTATTAATAAATAAAGCAAGCAAAATGTTCCAGTGTTGACATTGCATTGTGGCACAAAAATGTGCTGAAGACGTTCCAACATGTCAAACTGTGGGGCCCCACAGTGTCCGATATTAAATGAACAAATAAGTAATTATAAAATAAATTGTTATTGTTATTATGACAATGAATGATGAAATGACATTTCATAATAATGAGTAGAATTTTGAGAACTTTTCACAGCTATTTAACAAGGTTTACACGATTTATTCACATTATTGTTTATTTTTAAAACAGTGTTTAATTTAACATTGAATACGTTGTGGTTCCATATACTGTACACCTAGTAAAATAAGTCCCAGCATTTCAAACTATAACTATGGAATACGACTGCAACTTACCAAGTCGGAGTTATGAGTAGGTCAGAACGTTTTACTTATTTTTATTTTTTTTCCCATTTCTGCTATGATAACATTACAAATGCTTAAAATACCATTTCCAGTAAAAAGTATAAAGTATACCATTGATATAAAGTATATTATCGTATAAAGTAGTCAAGCCATGCACATTATGCATATGTTTTGTATTTACTTTACTTCATAAAATCAGAAAAAAAACAGCACCTAAGACTGAGAAAAGAGAAAAGGATGCATTGGATGGTGAGTTCATGAGAAGAGATGGGAAGCTCAAAGACTGATCACAGGACCAATACAACACTAAGGCAGTCTACAGAGTCAGAAGCAAAAGATGTGAACAGTTGAACACTTGTGCATCTCACAGTTTTTGTGTGAGGCAGGGCAGCTCTCTGTTCTTCTTTTTGTGAGGTATGATTTTATTCTCCATAAGCATAATCAGTTCATGGGTTTCTTGGATGATCTCAGCTTCAGGCAAAATCAGTGAGTGTCAAGTGCCAGGGCATTATTACAAAACCAAAACCTGCCTAGTGTAACTCGACCGCCTCAAAAGCTCCCTCTGCAGGACGCAGTGGGTCCTGCAAAGGGAGCTTTTGAAAGCAATGAAAGCACTAAACATGTGTAGATGATATTTTAAGTCTTGAAGAAGAGAGCTGTAACAGTGTGTTACGAGAAATACAGCTCTGTCTCTCGCAGGAAGGTCTGTCTGAAGACTGAAATCAGACTCTGATGGACAGGTGTTTTGGTTGCCAGTCTACTTGGATATAATGAGCAAAGTATTCAAAATACCACAAAAGTTTACACTTTTATTAATATGTGTCAATTAGAATAATATTTGTAATCAGTATGATAACCTTCTGACTTTTCATCAAGCGTCATCATCAGGTCAAACTTTGAATTTGTCATTACTCGAATTTACAGTTTTTTTCAGTCGCTAACAAGCGCTTACCCATACTTCAGATACTTTTTCTAAACTCTTAACACAGACTCACACCTACAAAACACAATTGGCCAAATGGATAATTTTCTTCTCAAAAACACATTTTGTTAAATATACTAACTCTTCATTTCAAAATAAAACACATTTTTCTCTGCACACACTATCTTTACCAAAACACTGGAAATCTGACTCAAAATGAAATTATTCTGTCAAAGAATGACACTTGTTTTCACTTCACAAAGTACATGCAGTCAATCAAAGTACACCAGGTTTCAAAATACTGGCTATTGTTGACATTACAAAAACTACATAGACTTTTATGTTTCAGTTTTACAGGTATTTGCATGCAAAACATGCAATCCACCGTTTTTACACTATATTTCTTGGTTGGTAACTGTATGTCCACAGTAATGTTCACATTCAAAAGCATTCCAGTAAAAAGCAAATCCGTTTTTTTTTTCCTTTACTGTTTACTACAGGAGGTACAGTAGAAACACGGTATGATAGAACAGAAAAAGTTTTACAGTATTTCTTACAGTGAACAAAATATTCGTGAAACACACAAGACCATTCTGAACAAAAAAACAACAGCAAAAAGTCCAGATAAAAATTGGGGGAACTAAAAAAAAAAAAAGCACAACATTGCTGTATCTAATCTCTGCGATCTTCAGGGTTAGGCCACATGTTTTCGTCAACATCACATCTGATATTATCCAAGGCGATGCACCTGGGATAAAACCGCTTGGTATGTCGGATCCACCCTTGACAATCCTGAACTGTGATGTCCCTGCAGCCAGCATCCATGGCTTCAAGGAGGGACATCTGGTCATGTGGCTGATGGTCATAAACCTTCCACCTCCATGCTGAAAAGAACTCCTCTATGGGGTTGAGGAAAGGTGAATAGGGTGGAAGGAAGAGACTTACCAGTCTTGGGTGAACTTCAAACCAGGATGTTGCAACCTAACATCTGTGAAGGAGTAATCCTGCATTTGCAATTGCTGCACACATGGTAATGTTTGTCCCTCTCTGTCCTGGCACATCAACTGTGGCCCTTTTTCCAATTACATTTCGTCCACGTCGACGCCTTTTGGCCAGATTGAATCCTGCCTCATCTATGTAAATGAATTCATGAGGGGCCTGGTTGGCCTCCAATTCCAAAACTCTCTGAAACAAAGTTTATGTAAATCATGTCATTACTGTAATCCATACTGTACTGTAACCTATTACTGTGTAGCTTACCTACTTGCAAAGTGCAAAGCTTATAGAACTGGACATTGAATTGAATATACACTATACCTGGACATATTGTTGTCGTAGCTCCTTGACTCTCTCACTGTTCCTCTCAAAGGGAACAGTGTAGAGCTGCTTCATCAGCACTCTGTGTTTGGACAATGTCCGCGTAATGGTTGTGAGGCTGATGCTATTGATGTTATCAAACATCTCATGGTCCTCCACAATTCTAGTCTGAATTTCACGCAGTTTTATTGCATTGTTTGCAACAACTATTTCTACAATGGCAAGCTCTTGATCATTATTGAGGAGCTTTCCTCTTCCCCCAGAGGGTGGAAGACGTTGCATTCTTTAGAGGGACAAAAAAATTAAACATATGCATTACTGTATGACCTTATTGACATGTCAAGTGAGAATAGAAACAATCCATGTAAAATGCAATACTTACCTGTTGGTTTGTTGAAAGATGCGTATAATGGAAGCAACCGTTGACCACCTCAAATTGGGCTGCACTCTTCACCAGCCTCTCTTAGTGAAAGACCGTGGTTGATTACATGGTCAATGATAGTGGCACGAATTTCATCACTGACTACTGTTCTTGGAGCCCTTGGAATGCCACCACCACGCATTCTTACATCTCCTTGCTCCTGCACCTCTCACTGGGCCTGCTCTTCTCCCTGGGCCCCTTGCTCTTACTCTTCCTCGTCCAGACATTACAGTGTTTGTCTTTTTCTGTTTCTGTTTCCAAACACATCACTCCTCAAACCTCCTTTTATATATGTGTCAATGTAATAGAAGAAAAAAACCCTGCCACTAAGCCAGACTGGAATCAGCTGTGGTTGGCCCAATTTACCCAACATAAATCAGCTGTGTGTCAATTATTTAAATGTTTGTTTATTATCAGCCAAGATATATTGTTTATGAACTGATATCATTGCAGAAACAGAGGTTTTTATACTGTATCTAAGGTTTGGAATATTGTTTTTGCTATTGTGGGATGGTGTGTGTTAACATTCGTAAATACTACAAAAGTAATCCATAATTTTGTTGGGAGGCGATAGCTTGTCTGATAAGAAAATTTAAGCATTGTTGAAATGTGTTCACTGACTGCGTATTGTGTGAAAACGACATGAAATGTGTGAATGGTATGGCCACAAAAGACCGATGCTGTGCTAACTGTGTTTAGAGTTTTGAAAATGTGACAACTGATTGGACAAACGCTTGTTAGCGACTGAAAAAAACTGTAAGTTGGCCGAACTCACCTGGAATTCTAGTAAGGACTGAATGCTTTCTTGTGTTTAGTAAATGCGATGCCCTGTTAGTAGTTGGTAAACCATAATGCTTATTGGTAAGTAACCAGTCATTTTACCAGTATTACCTGTGGCATGACAGCATGCACTGACCTTGTCTGAGTTCTGTTAGTGCTCAACTCCTCTGACTGATCTCAAAACTCACCAGGAACAAGTCTAGAGACTAGAGTCAAAAATCATTGTGAGAAGCGTAAATGTTTTTCCATTCTTCCACTTACCCAGACACATCTTAGCTTCGGTTGTTGTCACCAAGGGCAAATTTCTTCTACTACTCTTCCACAGTGAAATTTGTCACTTTGAGAAATGTGTACAGTTGTGATTAGCTACATTGCCTTAAAATAACATATTTGAACGTGTTGGAATGCTTTGGATCTCTCTGTTTTTAAGAGATCACTTGATTTGTTTGACCTGAGGCGTTTTGAGTGTCTTTCCAAAGTGCTGGAATATCTTAGTGCAGCACAGAGGGGGTGGAAAGGGTTAAGATGAACAGGCACTCTTCACTTTAATCTTCATAATGGAAGCTAAAGAGGACTAATGATACCTTCTCCCTCCTCCTCCCATGCCTCCCCCTATCCCTTTCTCCTTCCCTATTTCCACACCTCCATCCTTAACCCCCTGACCTCCCTTCTTTATTGCTTCTCTAACTCTCTCTCTAGCCCTCGCTCCTTTTTTCCTTCCTTTACTCACTCATCCGTCTCTCTGTCCTTCATCACTCCAGCCTTCCCTCCATTCTTGCCTCAGTTCTCTTGTTTCTCCACCTTTCTATTAGCATCCCGCCATCCCTTCTCTCCTCCAACACAGCCAGGCGTTACTACAGTGACAAATGAATCCTTCTACACCGCAGTGTTGCTTTGTGTGTGTGTGTGTGCACAAGGTATATGTGTGGTACCCATTTTTTGTGTATCTATATTTATCTAGGCATGTGTGCGCATGAGTACATGTATGGTCTGTCTGTGTGTGTGTGTGTGTGTGTGTGTGTGTGTGTGTGTGTGTGTGTGTGTGTGTGTGTGTGTGTGTGTGTGTGTGTGTGTGTGTGTGTGTGTAAGGGCTGTAGCTCTGTGACAGAGACTGATAGCCAGTCGTGGTAAATGATGCAGAACTTTCTTTAATAGGAGATACAAGAGGTGGTAAAAAAAATCCTGCTTAATGGAGAAATATGACAGAGAAGGGAATGGTGGAAGATGGGGGTGTAGATAAAGAAAGAGAGCTAAAGAAATGATATGGAGAGAGGAAAGATGCCGCAAAATAAAAGGACTGGAAAGATAAGAAAGGGATAAAAGGGATGATATCAGGAAAAGGGAAGGGTATAAAAGCAGAGGAAAAGGAGAGGTGGAGGACATGTGTTCAAATTTGTTGGTAGAGTATCTAGAAAGTTGAACTGTGACATCAAAGTGAGCAGCTGGATGGCAGTGTGGTGAGGCCAACTCTTGCTAACTAACACTAAACATAAAGCACAGCTGAGGCTGGCTAATGCCATTGTTTTTGGTCATAGACCAAAGTATTGAACAAATTAAATTGTAAACCTAATGGGGGCGCTAGAAGAGAAGTCAGTGGATCATCAAAGTCAGTAGGGTTCTGAAAACCTCTTCCTCCTGGTGGTCCAAAGCTCTTGTGCTAGTGGTGTAAACTGGATGGAGTTTGAGGTTGTGTAGAGTTGAGGTGATTTTTTTTTCACAACTAGCTAACTAATAAAACGTTTGTTGATTAATTAAGACTCTTCTCATCCACTAATGGTTTATTCGACTATTCGGGGCAGCCCTAGTTTAAATTGACCTGAGCTCTTAACTGGATGATGAGAAATTGCAGTGATGGCCTAATTTTATAATTACATTCTTGTGATTTAAAGTGTAACGTGAGAATATTGGGGACGGAAAATGTGTAGGCTTCTATAATTAATGTCAGGATTTGCAATATGTGTTGCAAATGTAAGACTACATACTGGACAGTAACCAGTAGGATATATACAGTTGTTTTTTTCAAATCAGTCTTTGTATAAACATTCAGACTGTATGAAGTCAGAGGGAAAGGTGTGTGTGTGTGTGTGGTATCGTTACTCAGCCTACAGCACATTACATGTGTGAACCTATGTCTCTTTGTGTTTGTCTGCCTGTGTGTGTGTATGCTGATGGATAGATCTCATCACTGGTCCCCTCCCCTCACCACCTTCAATAATGAGGGGAGGGATGCATGAGGGAGGAGTAATACGAGAGGAAGAGACAGAGGGGAGGCCACGAGTCCTACACTGTGAATGTTAAACACTTTTAAAGCTGAAAGTCAGTCCTTTAACCTCATAGTCCAGTTCCATTTCAAATCCACTACGCACAAATTCACACTGTCTGTCTTAAAGATATCAGATACAAAGAATATCCACAATCCACAACAGTCCAAACAGAAGAATCGTTGCCCAGGTAGCTGAAGAGAGGAGCTTGTGCTCTCAGGCGGACTGCCAGAGGGCAGAACAGCAGTGGAACTGGAGTCTCATGCAGGCAGCCTGAGGGCAGGACAGGGGCAGAACAGGAGTCCTCAGGTAGACTGCCTGGGGGCAAGACAGGGGTGGAGCAGGACTGAAGTTGGAGGTGGAGACCTCAGGTGGATGCCCAGGGGCCATGACAGAAGTGTAGCTGGGTGACTGAAGGGCCATGCAGGTCTGGAGGGCGACCAGAAGGCATGGAGATCAGAACCAGTCTGATGGCAGGAATGCAGGACCAGAGGCTGGCAACTGGGGTGCAGGACTAGAGACCAGTGAGAGGACAGGACACTGGAGGCAGAAGACAGGGCTGCATGATTGGAGGTTGAGGACAGGACAGCAGGAGTGGAGGCTGTCGATAGGACATCCGGCAGGAACAGAAGGCTGCTGCAGTTCTAGGACTGAGGACCCCAGGCTCAGAAGACTAAAGAACCTTTGGCATTTGAGAGGCGCACCAACAGTGAGAACCACGCCAGCCAGTAAACGGCTAATATTTACTCTTGTCCGGTCTCTTGCTCTTCTTTTCCTCTTCCTCACTTCCTCCGACAACATCTTTTTCGGTCTCTTCATAGCCTCTGCTATAATATCCATAAAAACAATACCAAGCAAGCTTCTTCGAAAGAACTTATGTTGTAAATGATAGAGTATACGTTTTGCTTCTTCTTATTGCTTGCTATGGAGTCGCGTTGGTTCTGAAAAGCATTGTCATGATAAATGTCCTGCCTGGGATTCCAGTGTTACATAGTGCAGTAGCTGGTGTAGGGAGCCTGGAGAGGTAATGACAGAAACACCTTTCACCCTAAGTCAGTTTAGCATCAAAATTATTTTGAATTGCTACTTAATGTTGCTTTAAGATTGTATATTCAATCTAAATGTTCAGCCACACCTGGAGCTTTTTAAAACTAGGGCTTAATGTTTCTTGTCTCTTCAAAAGTGGTAACTGACCCCAGTTTATCCAGAAAGTCCATGGTTCTGTTCAAGTCAAAGACAATGTATCCTTGACAGATCTCACCTCCTCCATAACCTGCGGTGGAAAATTTGTGTCCACTGGGTCCATTTTGGGTTGGTTCGCTCTGCTATAGTTAGTCAAGTTGGGAGCAGGTAAACCAGGGATTGAACCCATACGCAGGACAACCAGGCAGAGCAGGTTCAGTTATTAGTGTTTATTAATTATGAAACAAAAAGGAGAGATCATTCAGAGACCAATGTATCTTTTATTCATTACATAAAAATATGGGTTTGCATTTAGCCCCTGGAGGAGCAAACCTATTTTCTTATTGAATTTATTATTTCCCAAAAAACGTGATTTTTTTTTTCTCACATTTTTATAATTATTGGATTATCAAAATATTGCTCTGTGTTTGTCTTGGACATTAACAAATGAACAAAAGACTTACTGACATTTGCTGTGTTCAGTTAGGGTGTGCATCTTCAAAATTGTCTACTATCTGAAGCTTTTTGAAGTTAGCATGCTCTGACCACTCTGTGTTGAATATTTCTTTCCTTTCTGAAACACTTTAACTTCACCAAATTCACCACAAGATGGCAATGTTTGACCAAATTTGCTGACCTGGTCACATGAAAGGTTTTTACTCTTGCTTCCTTCTTTCTTTCTTTTCCTTTTCCCTCCATCAGTCTTTCTGTCTTTCTTGTTGTCACTTTCTTGTTTTTGTCTTTTTTTTTCTTTCTTCTTCGCAACTTCAGGCCACTGAAGCTGTCTTTTTCAACTTCACGTTTCAGCGCTGTTAGAGAAGGTTGAGTCGGTTTGAATAGACATTTCACTATGGTGTGCAGTTCGTTTCAGGTGAGATACTTTAATATTCTGCTGAGGTTAGAATAGTTATCCTACCGCTACACTGAGTGGTTCAATAATGGTAGATGTAT